CTCTTTATAGGCTAAGAATGACACAAGTGTTGCCGCATGCTCTCACTATGAAGGCCATCAATGAAGTAAGACTTGTTCTGATCTAGATCCTTCGTTAGAACACGGATAATCAAGCGAGTCAACTTCTCAATATAGTCCCCAAGCTTCATTTTCCCTTGCTGAAAATGTCAAAGTCCGGTGTAAACATTCTCCATGTCATAGTGAAGGACGTAAATGGAAAGTAGCCTCAAACTCATCCATCATAGACATTAATGGTTTTTTATCTGCAGCACAAGACTCCTCAAGCCAATTCCACTACCAAAAACCCGCATCACACAAAACTATTGGAATAGCCACTAAAGCCTTTGCATTTGGAGTTCTTCTAACAGCTAAGAACTTCTTCACATTAACTAGCCAAGCTAGACACTCATCCATACCACCATCACTGAAAAACATTGGAATCTTGAATTGATCCACCAAGGAAGGTTTACTTGGAGTGCCACCACAACTAGCCCCGAGTGCCTCAACACGCTCATGCAAAGTACTCATCATGCTATACATTTTGTTTTGCATCTCTTGCTGATTTTTATTAAGGGCTTGTAGCTCATGAACAACATCTTCCATGGTCCAAACCTTCACAGCTCCATCGGCACCATCATCGGCACTATCATCAGCACCACCATTGACAATAGGATTTTAGCATTCAACTTGGTCGGCCATCACAACCAACACCTTTGATACCAATGTTATGACCTGGCACAAAAAATCAACAATCTAGTCTTTCTAGACTAAACTATGCCTCCTCTTAAACCCAACCACCCCTGAACTACCTCAAAAACTCCTCTACACCATCACTCTTAAGTTCCTTACCCTTGAGCCTCCCTTTGACCAATGTTGACCATGTGGTCAAAGCTGGCGCCTAACAAATTGCCACACTTTGCTGTAATATATCCCCAACATTAACACTCAAAACATTGAGGTCTTCTACCATACCCTTGATCTCCATCCCCAAACACAAGCATGCTTACTATAGTAGTTTCATTATAACCACCTAAAGTAATTGCCATTTGCTCTTCAAATGCTTCTCTAGGTTGAGATAAGCCATCCATATGTTCATCTTTTCCATTTCTTCTCGATAAATTATCTTCTCCAATGCCCTATAAAAAAGAGCTTGGATTGTAACACCTAAAGAAAAATAGAATCAAATGCGAGTAGAGTGTTACCTTTCAGCTACTGCTCGCACCTTGTCCAGGTCCGCAAGACACAACCAATAAGCCATGCATTTGATTCACATGTAGCTACTATTTGGTGACGCTGCTACAAGCCTTTCAAAGTCGTCCTTGGTCTCTGGAGGCTGGTCCTTCTGTAATAACTTCTCTTTTGCTGCAGCCTCCCTGTTGAGAAGCAGGACATGAGAAGACTAAATATAAACAAGAAGTAACTCTGCTCTTTCAAGTCAATTGGCACTGTATCCTCAACGTCTTTGTTGAGAGTGGATCGACATGCATAGCTGTGGGAATCGTTTTGATGCCAGATCCAAGTAGTCCTCCTCCTCCCTCTCATCATTATCCATGAGCACATTTGTGTTCGAAGGCTCTTCATTTATAGCTTCTTCCTCCATCGGCTCGATGTCCTCAGGGGTCAGATATGACACTTTCATTCCAAGAGATATACGTTTGGTTTCCGCATCAACCTGTAGAGGGAAATCATAACCCTGTGGTTTTACTAAAGCTTTCGTTCTCACCTTTAGAATCTTTACTTGAACCCATTGGCCGACTTTGTAAAGTGTTGGCAAGTCTTGAATAAAATCGTAAGACACTTCAGAGACATGACACAAGCAACCTGGAGCACAGACTAAGAACTTAAAACCAAGATAGAGAGAGAGCTTGCCACATCACTCTCGGCAAGGCTGATGGAAATCCCAAATGCTTCAATGTTGTGTATGCGGCCACTAACGATCTCTCCAGCACCAAACTTCTTCCAGCCACTTGAATCTTGTGATGTTGTTGCCGTCAAAGACATTTCAATGTGCCCAGACAATGGCTCGATGCTTAAAATTCTGACAAAGAAGAAGATATCAGCAAACACTTCCATACGGAGAAAAGTTCATACCTTCCCGATATCACCTTGCCTGATGGAAACATTTCTGCAGGGTTTTGTACAAACGAGTTCGATAGGTTCTTCAGTTGAATTCTAGCTTCAAGTGAAGGTGCCAGGACCACAAAACAACCTTTCTCCGTCACATTCCTGACAAAACCCTGCAACACAAAAACAAGTCACGTCCACAGCATGCAAGGTTTCTGCTTACTTGCACTTCATATCTTGCTTAAGTTCCAACACGGAATTGACAATACGAGCATTGGATGCAGAGTCAAAAAAATTTAATGCAAATCTCGGAAGTTACCTTTCAAGTGTTTGATAGCTCGGAAGGGACTCAAAACCACCACGTCCACCAACTTACTGAAAGTTCCAAGCCCATCTTTCCCCTCCCTGGCAAGACCTTACGAACTGTCCCTCTGTAAATAAACTGGCTCGGTCATCAATCCATGTATCGTTACATGAACTTTTCCGAAACTTTCCCATCTGCCTTGCACAGTATGTCCGCCTACACCAGCAAAAACTCGTGTGATTCGTCAGCCTAACAGGTCGCCTTTCTTGAATTGTTTGTCACTTGTTTTCGGGTGTAGAGACAAATCCACTTGCTTCCTTTCGTGGTTAACACTTCTTATATGGCACTGGAACGGGTCACCGACTTTGAAGCGCTCTTTAAAACGTTCAAGCTCCGAGGGATCGTCAGACGTGTCCAGTATAAAAAGGCAGCCTTTAAGATGGGGTGAGAGGACTAGCCATGTCCAGTTGTCCTTTACTTCTTGAACGTATCTGATAACCGACTGTTCAATGGTTACGGTCTCGAAAGTAATCACTGAGCATGCAGCATCGTTTCCTGCAAGTCACGATAAGTGAGCTAATTCAAAGGGACACCATACAGACCTGCAAGCTCAGATGGACGTAGAGATAAATCCAAAGTGGCAGCATTTCTGTGCTTTCTGCTGGTTTTGCGTTTTGAAAGGATTTTAGCTCGAACAGTCTGCCCAACACTGTATTTTCTCAATGGGTTCCCTTCTTCATAATGATCAAGACATTTGAGGAGTTAAAAGACAGACTGGAAAACAGAAACGAACCTCTGTAATGTGCACATTCCCACGTAAGGAGCAGTGGCTGTCCATGGGACAGGGCTTGTCTGCCAGTCCTAGAACTATTGAGTGTTGCAGCCTCCATGAGGTGATTTCTTGGGTGATTTGTGACCTGTGCAGTATGAGAAAGAAGTGACGATTCACAGAAGAATTCTAGAAACATGGAGCTCAATCTTCGAAATGTGATCATGAGCACAGCAGGAAGTTTTGAGAAAGAGGACCTTGGTCTCTTGGAATGCAATGATCACTGCAAATGCCTAGAATGGGTGTCTTCTGAAAGTGCTTAAGCTGTTGGATTTCATTCCGGCACCTTTTGTGAATGCATTGATCACCACCCATGGCAGATCAAGGATCCTAGCTCAAGCAAGAAACATGTTTGATCAAATCTTGTGCAAAACTGTGAGCTCCTGATCACCCATGATTTAACTGTAAGCCCCAGCAAAACCTTATTAAATCTTTGCAGAACTTACCTTTATCAGTGTCTTAGCCACGCCAGCCTAACAAGCAAGATCCAGGAGAACTTTTGTATCAATCACTACAGCCACTTGATTATATTGTTGCCCATTGCATGGAGAAGAAGCTCAAACTTCTTCTATCACTGTGATACTCTACTATGAGGAGCAAGTAAAAAGTTCCTTGTTTTCTGTTTATGGACATGCTATTAAGACAAACACATCAGACTACTCAAAAAAAGTGAACTTTTTGACTAGTAATAATGTTCTTAAAGGAAAGTTTGCAAGATTTTAGTATTGCAAGAGTGTAGGACTTCTTCCTTATATTCTTCACTATTTGCTTTAAGCTTGCTATAGGAAGAATAAAATTGATAAAAAGAACATTAGTTGAACTCTTTGAGAGATAAACAAGAAGTACATATGAATAAAAAAATGTATTAAAATGAGTACATCATATAAATTTTTTATTTATGTAAAAATTAACAATATCAAAGCAAACCAAACGTTGTTGCATAGTGTAATGATATCTATCTGAGTTCGGTTAGGGTTGGTTATGGTCAGTTAGTGTAGATGGTATTGTGTATAATGCTCAACTCTCCACCTAGTAACTCTTATTTTCCTCTAGTGAGTGGCTCTTACTTCCTCCAATGCAACATATCTCCTCCCTCCACACTCTTCCTGTAGCAACTCTCCTCCATGTCCTCTAGTGCTCCTCCTGCACCAACTCTCTTCCACATTGTACTTTTGCCAGTCCTACTCTTGGATTTTTCAGTTTTTTTTTAATTTTCATCAAATCATTCTTTCTCACCCTCTAGCTCCTCCAAAACCCGTTGTGCATTGAGTCTCCTCCAGCTCCTCCAGCACTCCTCCTATAGCAGCTCTCCAGCTCCTCCAGCACTTCTCCTGCAACAGCTCCCTCTAGCACTACAACAGCTCTCCTCTAGCTCCTCTAGTAGATGGCTATGCCACGGCTAAGGCCAGCCAAGGTAGTGCTAGCCATGGCCGAGACCTTGTGCCACCATGGCTGTGCTTGCTATGGGCCATTGGTGATGTAACTTTGGCCCTAGCTGTATGGTTATAGATACCACAGCCAAGGACAACATCATTGGCAATCAAGGTTGCCAGTGGTTGTGGTAAGCTTGGCAAAACATTATCTTTAACGTTGAGAAAGGACCAATTCGCACATTTATTTAGTGAAAAAAAACTTAAGCGACCCACTTTAAAAATTAAGAAAGTTGGGTTCGCACATTGAAAAAATTTGTGTTGCAAAGTAAACTTATAAGGACTTTTGCATTCGCACATGTCTTAGATTTAAGTGGAAAAACACCCTCGGATTCGCACTTTAAAACAATGCATTCCAACACTTAAAATTCACTTAATTCAAATTTTGAAATTTCAAATTCAAATTCAAATGTTTAGAATTATATCCCGGCAAATTTCAAAGCAAACACGAACGCCACTGGCAAAGACACAGGGAAAACGTGAGGTTCTCTCTAACCTCTTTCGCATCCTCTGGACTGTGCAACTCCTCACAAGGTTCCCCTTCCGCTTGCTCGGGATCACCATAATCGACAAAGAGGTCCTGGTCCTTGAGCCTTTTCACCTCTTTCCTCCAAGCTTGGATCTCCACCCGAAGATCAGTCTCCCCAACATCAATCAAGAAATTGTGCAAGATGCAACAACTCTTGATGATGTTGGGAAGGTACTTTTTGTTTCTGATCCAAGAATCTGAACTTCATTTTAAGAAGTCCAAATGCTTGCTCAATAACAATCCGAGCAAGGTGGATGAAGGTTGAAAGCTGCCTTGGATGGTGTCAGGTTCGACAACCAAAACAAGTGAACAAAAGAAAGTAGAATGAAGAAGACTTGTGTGGAATCTGGAGTTGGTACCCTTTGTCCCCCACTAGGTATGGCTTGATCCTATCGTCATATGCTAACACCACGGGCGATGTCAGCAGCTCCCTTGCTACAATCTTGTTCCTGAGGGTTGAATTACGAAAAACCCTCATGTCGTGGACGCGTCCTGAAAGCAAAAAAAAACATTTTAGAACCATCCACAACACACAAAGAAACATACCTGGCCACCCAGCGTAGACACTGAGGAACCTCTTCTGGGCATCACAAACCCCTTGCAAGATGACCGAGTACCACTGCTTCCGATCGTAGTAGCTCTCGCCATCCAGTCTAGTAGGTCGGATGATCTCGGAGTACAGTCGATCGCTCCAGCAACATTAGGCAGTCGGGTTCCTATTGCTCATCAAAACTTATAACAATCATAAGAAAATGAACCTGTCACTTGTCGAAAGCCAGCAGCAACAGCTCGAACCACCTTGGCAGTTGAAGGAAAATGAATCTTGTACCTGAGACACTTGACAATCGCCGCAGTAGTGTCCATGACAATCTCATGAGCTGTGGACTCCCCGATGCTGAACTTGTCCACCAGATCCAAGTAATCTGTGTTCTTGAAAAGCTTGTACAAAGTCACCCCCAGTCGAACATCCACCGGCAACACACTCCTCCAACCGGTATCTTGCTTCCGGATCTCGCTCTCCAGCATGCCACAAATGGTGAAGAAGGTCCTCTTCTCCATCTGAAGTTTCCTCTTCCACCTCCCCACATCATAATACTCCAAAGAAAACTTACTCCAGGTGGTGACATTTCGAGGCTTCACCCACCACAGGCCGATGCAAAACCTCCTCCCAATCACAGGCAGCGGGGCTCTTGTCATCCGCAATGTGCATTTAAACCCTAAAGCAAAACGGTGAAAGCTGAGATTCCAGCGCTGTGTCTTCGTCATGAGAACATGCTGGCTGCTCCTCCCTCCCCCGCAATCTTCGCGAGATGTTTTTCCCGAACGAGATCAATCAGGAGCATGGTCTCAGCATGGTTCCAGTTCTTTCCCCGGGTTCTCTTCGCAGCAGCAGGTGCAGCAAAACCCAAGGTATTCACAAACTGGACAGCCTCGTCGTCGAGCTCCTCCATGTGAGCATCCGGGTCTTGTTCCAGATCGGGGACGCTGTCATCTCCCTCTTCTTCATGACCCCGCCGGGAGCTCTCAATCACTCATGCATGCATGCAACCTAAGAAATGTAAACTCAAAGCCATCTCTGGTTCTCAAAGCAGTTGGAGCTCCCGGCACGCTGTGCTCCAGGGGAACGCCTCCGGACGTGGCTTGGGCTCCTCCGGGCGCGGCTTGGACTCCTCCCGCTGTGGCTTCGGCTCCTCCCACCCAGGCTTGGCCTCCTCCTGGCGATGATCCATGGCCTCCTCCTCCCGGAGAAGAACCGCGGCGTCCTCCTCCTAGAGTAGAACCATGGCCTCCTCCTCCCGGGGCACCCCCTCCTCGAGCCGCCTCAGAACCATGGCCTAATCCTCCCGGAGCCAGATTCAGAGATCCGCGGCCAACCCCGGCCACCCGCGCCCTCCTCCCACTCCATGGCCACCTCTCCCTCCATGGGCACCTCTTCCTCCTCCTGTTGGTGAAGATAGAGCACGAGCAGGCCCAGATCCAGCTCGATCGGCCCCATTTCCCAGAGCTCTGTTTCCTAAAATCGGATTACCTGCTTCCTCCACCTCCTCAGGCCTCTCCTCATAAATCTCCGCGGCTGCTGCCCTGTTTTAATTCTCGGGCCCTGCCGCGAGATCAGATCTTCTTAGGCACGCGAAAGCCTTACCTAAGATCTTCTCGAATATTTCCGGAATAATTTTTAACAACTTCCCTTAAAATAAAATGACCCTAACACTTTAGGTTTTGAAAATTACTTAAGTTCGCCTTTTTTTTCGTACTAGTAATTTTCCCATAAAAAATAAGGGTAAGTACATTACTTTAGCTTAAGTTATTGTGCAAATAGGGAACACGTAAATTTTGAACTGTAATTTTCGGGTAACTCTTGGTCCAGAGCTAAACTCTTATAAACATCTCTAAACATGCTCATTTAATTAACCACCAATGAACGGCCAAGATATCTTTACCAGCACTCCCCCACTAATGTCTTTCGAAAATAAAAAAACTATAAGCAAAGAAGATATTATCAAACACTATTTTTCCAATGTTTGTTTTTTTCTTATTTTCTACTATTAATTAACTTCCAACTCAATCACACAATATTTGGAGCTGGAAGAATTGAATCCAACTTAATTTCAGCAAACTGATGAGGATGGACAATTTTTATTTTCATTTCTTTTGCACTTCTTAATTTACATTTCTTAATTTGTTTCTACTCTTCTTATACACACTTTTTTCGGTGTATTTGGCCCATTATATTTAGCTGAAACACATGTACATGTACACTAGTACACTACTTGTTCAACTTCTTCCAGCCTCTGGTGCCCAACCTCAAGGCTCTCTTGTGGATGGAGCTAGCCCTACACAGTGTGTGTGTGTGTGTGTGTGTGTGTATCAACCAGCAGATGCACAAATCGTTGAGAATTAGCTCACAGGAGAGAGCAAGCAGGTCACCACTCACGACAAGCTCAAAAAATCTGGAAGACGTTGCCGAGGAACTGGTGAGTACGTCGCAAGAAACAAATGCCGTCGTCACCAGCTTCCACACGTCTTCAACGTGCTCTAGGAGCACAAACCCAAAGTTGGTCATGCCACAAGCCGCCATCACCTTGCTCCTGGAACATGAGGCAATATTTGCTATCAGCAAAGAGTTTCGGTACTGGCAAGTCTTCATACTAAGGCTTATTATCTGAATCTGGGCGCTCTGTTTTGGGGCACCTGTTGGCAGGTTTAGTCAGCATTCCCGGATTCTATCAAAATGAAATTTAAATTTAAGACAAATCCTCCTTTTGCATAGTTTTAACTTTTAAATGTTAATTTTTTCTCCGTGAAGTTCAGGTTGGCGGCTCACTCAGCGGCCCATGTCTCTGCTTGACTCATGGAGGGTTTAAAACCAATGATAACTGCAAGAAAGAGCACTGACATGTTTTCAAAAGTACTTGTCACAGGAACATCTGCCATCCTGGAACACATGAACCCGACTGGCATCTTTGCAGATGATTAGCCTTTTTTCTAGCTTAGAGATGAGAGCAGTGGCCGCATGGCAATCGTCACAAACTCGGAGATTTTTCACAATTCTGATGGTCTCCTTCTGGTGCGAGTTCACCAGAGCACACCCCAGCGCAAGCTTCTCACTGTGGCCGCACAGGTGATCCTCTTTCTCTTCCTCGGGTATGTATTTTAGAACGTTGATCACATCGCTCGCGTACCCCTCCTCTTTCATTCTCAGCAACAATTGCTTGAGCTTGGCCGCAATCTCGTCGCTCTGTGAGTGACTCCTATCCCCGACAGAAAAAGAATGCACTTTTCCTGAGCTAACATCCGTCCACCAGCTTCTCCCGGGCTCCCTGAAGCTGCTTTCACCTCTCATTTTCTCCACAACAGCGGCCCTTTCACTGAGCATCCCCAGGTTTCCAAATATATTGGCCATCAATGCGTAGGGCGTGCCGCTCTTGGGATCCATCTCCACAAGACGCTCAAACGCGAGAATGCCGATCGTGTAATTCTTCCACTTCCGGCAGGCTCCGAGCAGGGACGTCCAAACCACTGCATCCGGTTCAAAAGGCATGGCTCTGAGAACTCTCACAGCTTCGTCGAGGAGGTTAGCTCGCCCGAGCATATCGATCAGGCACACATAATGCTCCAGACGTGGCTTAACTCCAAACTGCTTGGGCATTTCATCCAGAAGCTGCCTTCCTTTCCCCACCAGACCACCATGGCTGCAAGCGTTCAACACCAAGACAAAACTCACATCGTCAGCTTTACAGCCCTCCTCCTGAGTCATGGAATAGAAACGCTCCAAGGCCTCAATCGATCGGCCCTGGAGAGTGTAAGCCTGTATGAGAGAGTTCCAGAGACCCGTGTCGTCCCGAGCTCGGCACTCGTCAAACGCTTCCTGAGCAGAATCAACATCGCCGCATTTGCCGTAGAAGCTCACCAGGCTGGAGCCCAGAACTGGATCGTTTTTCAGCAGCCCTTTATGCTTCGCCAGTTGGTGAATCTCCCTCCCGAGCTTGATCGCCATCACACTCCCGCAAGCAACAAGGACGCAGGTGTAGGTGCAAGCATTAGCTTGAATGGTGTTATCAGCTCTCAGGGCAGAGTAGTACTCCAGAGCAAGTTCAGCTCGCCCGTTCGTGTTGCAGCCCTGGATGATCGCGGTGTAGGACACAACACTCCGACTTCCCATGGCGTGGAAAATCTTGCGAGCCTTCTCAAGCTCGCCACACTTGCAGTACATGTCTACCAGGCAATTCGCCACGAACAGATCTAGCTGTTTCTTCTCCTTGCTCAGCATTGAATGGATCTCCATCCCAATGCGTAGAGCTCTCTCCCTCTTCTCGCTGGATTCGGTAGCAAGTGTGGAGCAGGCGCTGATCACCACGACATGAGTCCGATCATCGGGTTGAATGGTGTTATCAGCTCTCAGGGCAGAGTAGTACTCCAGAGCAAGTTCAGCTCGCCCGTTCGTGTTGCAGCCCTGGATGATCACGGTGTAGGACACAACACTCCGAGTTCCCATGGAGTGGAAAATCTTGCGAGCCTCCTCAAGTTCGCCACACTTGCAGTACATGTCTACCAGGCAATTCGCCACGAACAGATCTAGCTGTTTCTTCTCCTTGCTCAGCATTGAATGGACTTCCATCCCGATGCGTAGAGCTCTCTCCCTCTTCTCGCTGGATTCGGTAGCAAGTGTGGAGCAGGCGCTGATCACCACGACGTGAGTCCGATCGTCGGGTTGAATGGTGTTATCAGCTCTAAGGGCAGAGTAGTACTCCAGAGCAAGTTCAGCTCGCCCGTTCGTGTTGCAGCCCTGGATGATCGCGGTGTAGGACACAACACTCCGAGTTCCCATGGAGTGGAAAATCTTGCGAGCCTCCTCAAGCTCGCCACACTTGCAGTACATGTCTACCAGGCAAGTCGCCATGTACAGACCTAGATGTTTCTTCTCCTTGCTCAGTACTGAATGGACTTCCATCCCGATGCGTAGAACTCTCTCCCTCTTCTCGCTGGATTCGGTAGCAAGTGTGGAGCAGGCGCTGATCACCGCGACATGAGTCCGATCGTTGGGTTGAATGGTGGTACAAGCTCTCAGGGCAGAGTAGTACTCCAGAGCAAGTTCAGCTCGCCCGTTCGTGTTGCAGCCCTGGATGATCGCGGTGTAGGACACAACACTCCGAGTTCCCATGGAGTGGAAAATCTTGCGAGCCTCCTCAAGCTCGCGACACTTGCAGTACATGTCTACCAGGCAATTCGCCACGAACAGATCTAGCTGTTTCTTCTCCTTGCTCAGCATTGAATGGATCTCCATCCCAATGCGTAGAGCTCTCTCCCTCTTCTCGCTGGATTCGGTAGCAAGTGTGGAGCAGGCGCTGATCACCACGACATGAGTCCGATCATCGGGTTGAATGGTGTTATCAGCTCTCAGGGCAGAGTAGTACTCCAGAGCAAGTTCAGCTCGCCCGTTCGTGTTGCAGCCCTGGATGATCACGGTGTAGGACACAACACTCCGAGTTCCCATGGAGTGGAAAATCTTGCGAGCCTCCTCAAGTTCGCCACACTTGCAGTACATGTCTACCAGGCAATTCGCCACGAACAGATCTAGCTGTTTCTTCTCCTTGCTCAGCATTGAATGGACTTCCATCCCGATGCGTAGAGCTCTCTCCCTCTTCTCGCTGGATTCGGTAGCAAGTGTGGAGCAGGCGCTGATCACCACGACGTGAGTCCGATCGTCGGGTTGAATGGTGTTATCAGCTCTAAGGGCAGAGTAGTACTCCAGAGCAAGTTCAGCTCGCCCGTTCGTGTTGCAGCCCTGGATGATCGCGGTGTAGGACACAACACTCCGAGTTCCCATGGAGTGGAAAATCTTGCGAGCCTCCTCAAGCTCGCCACACTTGCAGTACATGTCTACCAGGCAAGTCGCCATGTACAGACCTAGATGTTTCTTCTCCTTGCTCAGTACTGAATGGACTTCCATCCCGATGCGTAGAACTCTCTCCCTCTTCTCGCTGGATTCGGTAGCAAGTGTGGAGCAGGCGCTGATCACCGCGACATGAGTCCGATCGTTGGGTTGAATGGTGGTACAAGCTCTCAGGGCAGAGTAGTACTCCAGAGCAAGTTCAGCTCGCCCGTTCGTGTTGCAGCCCTGGATGATCGCGGTGTAGGACACAACACTCCGAGTTCCCATGGAGTGGAAAATCTTGCGAGCCTCCTCAAGCTCGCGACACTTGCAGTACATGTCTACCAGGCAATTCGCCACGAACAGATCTAGCTGTTTCTTCTCCTTGCTCAGCATTGAATGGATCTCCATCCCAATGCGTAGAGCTCTCTCCCTCTTCTCGCTGGATTCGGTAGCAAGTGTGGAGCAGGCGCTGATCACCGCGACATGTGTCCAATCGTCGGGTTGAATGGTGTTATCAGCTCTCAGGGCAGAGTAGTACTCCAGAGCAAGTTCAGCTTGCCCATTCGAGCCGCAGCCCTGGATGATCGCGTTGTAGGACACAACACTCCGAGTTCCCATGGAGTGGAAAATCTTGCGAGCCTCCTCAAGTTCGCCACACTTGCAGTACATGTCTACCAGGCAATTCGCCACGAACAGATCTACCTGTTTCTTCTCCTTGCTCAGCATTGAATGGACTTCCATCCCGATGCGTAGAGCTCTCTCCCTCTTCTCGCTGGATTCGGTAGCAAGTGTGGAGCAGGCGCTGATCACCGCGACATGTGTCCGACCGTTGGGTTGAATGGTGGTACAAGCTCTCAGGGCAGAGTAGTACTCCAGAGCAAGTTCAGCTTGCCCGTTCGAGCCGCAGCCCTGGATGATCGCGTTGTAGGACACAACACTCCGGGTTCCCATGGAGTCGAAAATCTTGCGAGCCTCCTCAAGCTCGCCACACTTGCAGTACATATCGATCAATCCCGTCAACAAGTAGATGTTGCTTTTGTGCTCATCACTCTTGAGCACAGCTTCATGGGCTTGTTTTCCCAAAGAAAGGGATCTGCTCTCAGCTGAGTCTCTCACGCGGTGTATCAGCCTCCCTAAACTCACCGGTTCATCACCAGCTACAGGTGGGGTATGTGGAGATTTGTAGCGGGCCGTGGTGGCCTTACCTACAGATGGGTCAGCGAGCGACTCGAGTTTTGCAGAGACTGTTTTCCTGTTGGCGATCCACAGGCTCTCTCCGGTAGAAACATGTTTGAAATCCGGGTAGGACTCTGAGAAGAACTTGTTTTTCTTCTTGAACCTATTGTCCCACCAGAAAGTGGGATCCCTGAACTCCATGAGATTGTTGAGAAATGACACACACACCACACAAACCCTAGCGCTGCACGCATACCCTAGAAATCCCATTAAACTGTGGTCCTGTTTTCTGTTTTTTCTTTTTCCAATTCTTTTCCTTTTTAAACTTTACAATGTCACAGCTTAACTGCAGCATTATTGTTAAAAAAAAATCTCTTTGATATATATAGAAAGTGAGCCAGCAGCAATCAGTTGCTCAAGAGCTGAAGAATCAGTACATGCATAATTTTCAGACAATCTTCTAACTGGCTGAACATCAGGTTTTTATGATTATTATTATTATTACTAACAACACGCACGAACTTCCTAGAAATCCCGATTTATTATTCTCTGCATTCATTTTTTATATGATCTGTTACTGCATGCACTTAACTGTAGGTAGTCTTCAGTTCTTCAATAGGCTAAAAGATATCAATACACTCAATATGCAAAAATAAACCACACTCTACACAAATTGAATAAAAAATGCTCTTCATAGGGCCAGAAGCCCCAGGGCACCATTTTCATGCAGAACAGCTTCGCAAATGACTCTTGCCCGGGGCCCATGCACAGGAGTCCTCGGGCAGTGGTAAAACCTCACAAGGCCTCACGTACTTATATTCACCCTGGGCTTCTGGCTGCTCCGCAACATACCTTACCACACCAAACTCTTCACACATGAAGCCACACACGGAGGAAAAAACCACACGAGGCCTCATGTGCTTACATTCAGTCCTTATATCTGTTCTTGGCCTTGCTCGGTTCATCTCCTTTGTTGTCCACCTGCGCTTCTTTACTTCATGTTTTTGCTTACATGCTTCGATTGACATCTTCAGATTTTCAAGCGAACGATTGTGGCATACCGTGGCTACGTTTTTCGGCAGAGCTTGGAGGTGCTGAAAGCGGCATTAAGTTCATGGAGGATTGATCTTGATTTGGATTGTATGGATCTCTATAAATTTTGAAACTTAAGTTTATTTTTCTCCTTTTTCTTCTGTGTTGCCAAAATAACTGGTGTCAAACTTGCTTTTGCAGACTATCTCTACTACTTCTGGATGCGATCAAGGCCTGCTGCTCATTGCTTCAAAGGAGGAGATGATAATTGATCCCCAAAGAGCGAGCTCGATGGTTTTGTTGCTTTCATCAAGTTATCATTCTGTGCGATCTGAAACACCACATCGTCCACTGTACTTTCACAGGTTTCGAGACAGGTACCCGGGAAAGCTGTATTCCATTGTTGTTCCTCAGGACCTGGAGTTGTTTTGCCGCCTCAAGTGTGAGCTGATCAAGATGAGGGAGAAGCTTGCAATGGTGGAGGCTTGGGCTCGAGCAAGGTTGCAGATGCAGTATGAGGATGATTTCTTCTACAACTAGCTTTGTGGATCTTTCCACATTGAGATCGTCGAACGGAGAGTGTTGTAGCATAAGTTATCTCCTGGAGAAATGGTCCTGGCTCAAGGAGCAGTTTGCACGCATCCGCACGTCAAGATTGTTGGAGAGCTCAACTGGAAGATGGAAAAAGGCCAAGGTGACTCATGGGGTTTCAAAACCTGCACTCGGCTTGGTAAGGTTTGGTGAGTTGAATAAGTATGATGAGTTTGAAGAGACAATCGCACAAAAAAAGGACGGGGGGGGGGGGACGTCTAGACGTGAAGCGTGCTAGCTCTCCTGAATGGCTTCAAAGAGGTGAGGTCTGAATCTTGGCTTGTGCTCCTTGTAAGAGCTAACTAGCTAGCAAAAACAGAGGAGACGGTGAAGAGGATGCCTCTTGAACTCCAAGAGAACAACAGACCTTTTTTTTTAAGGAGGGGAGAAGCTGCTAGCAGCTCAGAAGTAGGAGCAGTGGAGCAAGAGGAGGGCTGATGTCATCCCTGTGCGCCAAAACTGCTGGGTGGTTCGGGGCTTGGTTAAAGTAGGCAACCGGGTGGAGGCAGGGGGTTGGGAGCAATCCAGAGGCTTGAGGTATGACTTGTCTTTTCTACCTGGTGGAACTCCATCCGAGCATTCCTACTTCCCTCTTTTAAGCCGTTTTTACTATTAGCTCGTGTTAACTCTTAACTCACATTTATACATTGTGAAGTTTAAAAAGGAAAAGAATTAGAAAAAGAAAAAACAGAAAACACGAGCTTTTTACTACTACAGTTAAGTGCAGAATAACAAATCGGGATTTCTAGGGTATGCGTGCGGCGTTTGTGTGGTGTGTCTGTCATTTCTCAACAATCTCATGCAGTGGAAAACGTTTTTCAGGGATCCCACTTTCTGGGGACAACAGGTTCAAGAAGAAAAACAAGTTCTTCTCAGAGTCCTACCCGGATTTCAAACATGTTTCTACCGGAGAGAGCCTGTGGATCGCCAACAGGAAAACACCAACCTGGGTCTCTGCAAAACTCGAGTCGCTCGCTGACCCAGCTGTAGGTAAGGCCACCACGGCCCGCTACAAATCTCCACATACCCCACCTGTAGCTGGTGATGAACCGGTGAGTTTAGGGAGGCTGATACACCGCGTGAGAGACTCAGCTGAGAGCAGATCCCTTTCTTTGGGAAAACAAGCCCATGAAGCTGTGCTCAAGAGTGATGAGCACAAAAGCAACATCTACTTGTTGACGGGATTGATCGATATGTACTGCAAGTGTGGCGAGCTTGAGGAGGCTCGCAAGATTTTCGACTCCATGGGAACCCGGAGTGTTGTGTCCTACAACGCGATCATCCAGGGCTGCGGCTCGAACGGGCAAGCTGAACTTGCTCTGGAGTACTACTCTGCCCTGAGAGCTTGTACCACCATTCAACCCAACGATTGGACATATGTCGCGGTGATCAGCGCCTGCTCCAGACTTGCTACCGAATCCAGCGAGAAGAGGGAGAAAGCTCTACGCATCGGGATGGAGATCCATTCAATGCTGAGCAAGGAGAAGAAACAGGTAGATCTGTTCGTGGCGACTTGCCTGGTAGACATGTACTGCAAGTGTGGCGAGCTTGAGGAGGCTTGCAAGATTTTCCACTCCATGGGAACTCGGAGTGTTGTGTCCTACAACGCGATCATCCAGGGCTGCGGCTCGAACGGGCAAGCTGAACTTGCTCTGGAGTACTACTCTGCCCTGAGAGCTTGTACCACCATTCAACCCAACGATCGGACTCATCTCGCGGTGATCAGCGCCTGCTCCACACTTGCTACCGAATCCAGCGAGAAGAGGGAGAGAGCTCTACGCATCGGGATGGGGATCCATTCAATGCTGAGCAAGGAGAAGAAACAGCTAGATCTGTTCGTGGCGACTTGCCTGGTAGACATGTACTGCAAGTGTGGCGAGCTTGAGGAGGCTCGCAAGATTTTCCACTCCATGGGAACTCGGAGTGTTGTGTCCTACAACGCGATCATCCAGGGCTGCGGCTCGAACGGGCAAGCTGAACTTGCTCTGGAGTACTACTCTGCCCTGAGAGCTTGTACCACCATTCAACCCAACGATCGGACTCATCTCGCGGTGATCAGCGCCTGCTCCACACTTGCTACCGAATCCAGCGAGAAGAGGGAGAGAGCTCTACGCATCGGGATGGGGATCCATTCAATGCTGAGCAAGGAGAAGAAACAGGTAGATCTGTTCGTGGCGACTTGCCTGGTAGACATGTACTGCAAGTGTGGCGAGCTTGAGGAGGCTCGCAAGATTTTCGACTCCATGGGAACTCGGAGTGTTGTGTCCTACAACGCGATCATCCAGGGCTGCGGCTCGAACGGGCAAGCTGAACTTGCTCTGGAGTACTACTCTGCCCTGAGAGCTGATAACACTATTCAACCCGACAATCGGACACATGTCGCGGTGATCAGCGCCTGCTCCACACTTGCTACCGAATCCAGCGAGAAGAGGGAGAGAGCTCTACGCATCGGGATGGAAGTCCATTCAGTACTGAGCAAGGAGAAGAAACATCTAGGTCTGTACATGGCGACTTGCCTGGTAGACATGTACGGCAAGTGTGGCGAGCTTGAGGAGGCTCGCAAGATTTTCCACTCCATGGGAACTTGGAGTGTTGTGTCCTACACCGCGATCATCCAGGGCTGCCACACGAACGGGCGAGCTGAACTTGCTCTGGAGTACTACTCTGCCCTGAGAGCTTGTACCACCATTCAACCCAACGATCGGACTCATGTCGCGGTGATCAGCGCCTGCTCCAGAGTTTCTACCGAATCCAGCGAGAAGAGGGAGAGAGCTCTACGCATCGGGATGGACATCCATTCAATGCTGAGCAAGGAGAAGAAACATCTAGGTCTGTACATGGCGACTTGCCTGGTAGACATGTACTGCAAGTGTGGCGAGCTTGAGGAGGCTCGCAAGATTTTCCACTCCATGGGAACTCGGAGTGTTGTGTCCTACACCGCGATCATCCAGGGCTGCAACACGAACGGGCGAGCTGAACTTGCTCTGGGGTACTACTCTGCCCTGAGAGCTGATAACACCATTCAAGCTAATGCTTGCACCTACACCGGCGTCCTTGTTGCTTGCGGGAGTGTGATGGCGATCAAGCTCGGGAGGGAGATTCACCAGCTGGCGAAGCATAAAGGGCTGCTGAAAAACAATCCAGTTCTGGGCTCCAGCCTGGTGAGCTTCTATGGCAAATGCGGCGATGTTGATTCTGCTCAGGAAGCGTTTGACGAGTGCCGATCTCGGGACAACACGGGTCTCTGGAACTCTCTCATACAGGCTTACACTCTCCAGGGCCGATCAATCGAGGCCTTGGAGCGTTTCTATTCCATGACTCAGGAGGAGGGCTGTAAAGCTGACGATGTGAGTTTTGTCTCGGTGTTGAACGCTTGCAGCCATGGTGGTCTGGTGGGGAAAGGAAGGCAGCTTCTGGATGAAATGCCCAAGCAGTATGGAGTCAAGCCACGTCTGGAGCATTATGTGTGCCCGATCGATATGCTCGGGCGAGCTAACCTCCTCGACGAAGCTGTGAGAGTTCTCAGAGCCATGCCTTTTGAACCGGATGCAGTGGTTTGGACGTCCCTGCTCGGAGCCTGCCGGAAGTGGAAGAATTACACGATCGGCAAACTCGCGTTTGAGCGTCTTGTGGAGATGGATCCCAAGAGCGGCACGCCCTATGCATTGATGGCCAATATATTTGGAAACCTGGGGATGCTCAGTGAAATGGCCGCTGTTGTGGAGAGAATGAGGGTGAAGACAGCTTCAGGGAGCCCGGGAGAAGCTGGTGGACGGATGTTAGCTCTCTTTCTCTTCCTCGGGTATGTCTTTTAGAACGTTGATCACATAGCTCACGTAGCCCTCCTCTTTCATTCTCAGCAACAATTGCTTGAGCTTGGCCGCAATCTCGTCGCTCTGTGAGTGACTCCTATCCCCGACAGAAAAAGAATGCACTTTTCCTGGATCACCTGTGCGGCCACAGTGAGAAGCTTGCGCTGGGGTGTGCTCTGGTGAACTCACACCAGAAGGAGACCATCAGAATTGTGAAAAATTTCCGAGTTTGTGACGATTGCCATGCGGCCACTGCTCTCATCTCTAAGCTGGAAAAAAGGCTAATCATCTACAAAGATGCCAGTCGGGTTCATGTGTTCCAGGATGGCAGATGTTCCTGTGACAACTACTTTTGAAAACATGTCAGTGCTCTTTCTTGCAGTTATCCCTGGTTTTAAACCCTCCGTGAGTCAAGCAGAAACATGGGCCGCTGAGTGAGCATGCCTCGTCAAAGTACCGCCGCCAACCTGAACTTCACGGAGAAAAAAGTAACATTTAAAAGTTAAAACTATGCAAAAGGAGGATGACAAGAATCGGGGAATACTGACTAAACTTGCCAACAGGTGCCCCAAAACGGAGCGCCCAGATTCAGATAATAAGCTTTAGTATGAAGACTTGCTGATAGGAAGTACTGCCTCATGTTCCGGGAGCAAGGTGATGGTGGCTTGTGGCATGACCAACTTTGGGTTTGTGCTCCTAGAGCACGTTGAAGACGTGTGGAAGCTGGTGACAATGGCATTTGTTTCTTGCGACATACTCACCAGTTCCCTCTGGTGCCCAACCTCAAGGCTCTCTTGTGGATGGAGCTAGCCCTACACAGTGTGTGTGTGTGTGTATCAACCAGCAGATGCACAAATTGTTGAGAATTAGCAACAAGTGTGTATTATAGGCTTAGTACGTAGTGTACTAGTGTACATGTACATGTGTTTCAGCTAAATATAATGGGCCAAATACACTGAAAAAGTGTGTATAAGAAGAGTAGAAACAAATTAAGAAATGTAAATTAAGAAGTGCAAAAGAAATGAAAATAAAAATTGTCCATCCTCATCAGTTTGCTGAAATTAAGTTGGATTCAATTCTTCCAGCTCCAAATATTGTGATTGAGTTGTAAGTTAATTAATAGTAGAAAATAAGAAAAAAAACAAACATTGGAAAAATAGTGTTTGATAATATCTTCTTTGCTTTTAGTTTTTTATTTTCGAAAGAAAATTACTGGGGAAGTGCTGGTAAAGATATCTTTGCCGTTCGTTGGTGGTTAATTAAATGAGCATGTTTAGAGATGTTTATAAGAGTTTAGCTCTGGACGAAAATTAAAGTTCAAAATTTACGTTTTCCCTATTTGCACAATAACTTAAGCTAAAGTAATGTACTTACCCTTATTTTTTATGGGAAAATTATTAGTATTTTGGATTCGCACGAAAAAAAAGGCGAATTTAGAGGATTCTAAAGTAAAAACCCCGACCAAATCTAAAGTGTTGGGTCATTTTAAGTTGTTAAAAATTATTCCGGAAATATTCGAGAAGATTCTTAGGTTAGGCTTTGGCGTGCCTGCGAAGAAGATCTGATCTCGCGGCACGGCCCGAGAATTAAAACATGGAGAGGCCTGAGGAGGTGGAGGAAGCAGGTAATCCGATTTTAGGGTTGGAAGAGGAGGAAGTCGCCATAGGGAAATGGGGATCTGGGCCTGTTCGTGCTCTATCTTCACCAACAGGAGGAGGAAGAGGTGCCCATGGACGGAGAGGTGGCCATGGAGTGGGAGGAGGGCGCGGGGTGGCCGGGGTTGGCCGCGGATCTCTGAATCTGGCCCCGGGAGGATTAGGCCATGGTTCTGAGGCGGCTCGAGGAGGGGTTGCCCCGGGAGGAGGAGGCCATGGTTCTACTCTAGGAGCAGGACCTCTTCGTCAGAAGTTTAAGCATCGAGCCATTGTCTGGGCACATTGAAATGTCTTTGGCGGCAACAACATCACAAGATTCAAATGGCTGGAAGAAGTTTGGTGCTGGAGAGATCGTTAGTGGCTGCATACACAACATTGAAGCATTTGGGATCTTCATCAGCCTTGCCAAGAGCAATGTGGTAAGCTCTCTCTCTATCTTGGTTTCAAGTTCTTAGTCTGTGCTCCAAGGTTGCTTGTGTCATGTCTCTGAAGTGTCTTACGATTTTATTCAAGACTTGTCAACACTTTGCAAAGTCGGCCAATGGGTTCAAGTAAAGATTCTAAAGGTGAGAACGAAAGCTTGAGTAAAACCACAGGGTTATGATTTCCCTCTACAGGTTGATGCGGAAACCAAACGTATATCTCTTGGAATGAAAGCGTCATATCTGACCCCTGAGGATGGCATCGAGCCGATGGAGGAAGAAGCTATAAATAAAGAGCCTTCGAACACAAATGTGCTCATGGATAATGATGAGAGGGAGGAGGAGGACTACTTGGATCTGGCATCAAAACGATTCCCACAGCTATGCATGTTGATCCACTCTCAACAAAGACGTTGAGGATACAGTGCCAATTGACTTGAAAGAGCAGAGTTACTTCTTGTTTATATTTAGTCTTCTCATGTCCTGCTTCTCGACAGGGAGGCTGCAGCAAAAGAGCAGTTATTACAGAAGGACCAGCCTCCAGAGACCAAGGACGACTTTGAAAGGCTTGTAGCAGCGTCACCAAATAGTAGCTCCATGTGAATCAAATGCATGGCTTATTGGTTGTGTCTTGCGGACCTGGACAAGGTGCGAGCAGTGGCTGAAAGGTAACACTCTACTCACATTTGATTCTATTTTTCTTTAGGTGTTACAATCCAAGCTCTTTTTTATAGGGCATTGGAGAAGATAATTTATTGAGAAGAAATGGAAAAGATGAACAAATGTATGGCTTGCACTCACAATGTAATGTTTTTGATTTTCCTACAACCTAGAGAAGCATTTGAAGAGCAAATGGCAATTACTTTAGGTGGATATAATGACCATGGAAACTACTATAGTAAGCATGCTTGTGTTTGGGGATAGAGATCAAGGGTATGGTAGAAGACCTCAATGTTTTGAGTGTTAATTTGGGGATATATTACAGGCGCTAGCTTTGACCACATGGTCAACATTGGTCAAAGGGAGGCTCAAGGGTTTATGAAAGCATGTTAGAGTAAGGAACTTAAGAGTGACAGTGTAGAGGAGCTTTAGAGGTAGCTTGGGGGTGGTTGAGTTCAAGAGGAGGTGTAGTTTAGTCTAGGCAAATTAAATTGTTGAATTTTTGTGCCGGGGTCATAACATTGGTATCAGAGGTGTTAGTTGTGATGGCCGACTAAGTTGAACACTGGAATCCTATTATCGATGGTAGTGCCAATGATGGTGCCAATGGAGCTGTAGAGTTTTGGACCATGGAAGATGTTATTCACGAGCTGCGAACCCTTAATAAAAATCAGCAAGAGATGCAAGACAAGATGCATAGCATGATGGGTACCTTGCATGAGCGTGTTGAGGCACTTGGGGCTAGTTGTGGTGGCACTCCAAGTAAGCCTTCTTTGGTGGATTAACTTAAGATTCTAACTTTTTCTAGTGATGGTTATGTGGATGAATATCTAGCTTAGCTAGCTAATGTGAAGAAGTTCTTGGCTGGTAAAAAAACTCCAAATGCAAAGGCTTTAGTGGCTATTCCAATGGTTTTGTGTGATGCAGGTCTTTAGTGGTGGAATTGGCTAAAATAGTTTTGTGTTGCAGATAAAAAACCATTAGTGTTTATGATGGATGAGTTTGAGGTTGCTTTCCATTTACGTTTTGCCCTTCACTATGACATGAAAAATGCTTACACTGGACTTTGACATTTTCAGCAAGGGAAAATGAAGCTTAGGGATTATATTGAGAAGTTGACTCATTTAATTAGCTGTGTTCCAATGAAGGATCCAAATTAGAACAAGTCCTACTTCATTAATGGCCTTCATAGTGAGAGCATGTGGCAACACTTACATCATTCTTAGCTTACAAAAAGCTTGGAAGAGCTCTTTAATGCTGCTCGTTGACTAGACAATAACAAGTATAAATCTCACAAGCGTTTGAGGAGTCCTTCTGTTGAGAATCATCATGATGATCATTATGGACATAAGGATGGGAATAAACATCACAAGCTAAAGTCTATGGTGGCTACTTTGGGTACACAGGTGTCAAAGAAGCAGAGTGTTTACTAAAATTGATCTGAGGAGTGGACATTGTCAGATTGCTACGGATGATGCATCTATCTCCAATATGGCATGCAACACGAGTTTTGGGCATTTTGAGTTTAAGGTTATGCCATTTGGTTTGACGAATGTGTAAGCGACTAATTTTTCCATTCTACTTTAGTCACTTAACCACACCTTCAACCGCTTGGAGGAGTCTCATTCACAACCTCCTTAAGTCCAATTCAGGACTTGGGGCTTGCTAGCCCAAGAATGGCATCCATGCCACTCATCGCTTGCACTTAGTCCAAGTGCTCCACGTGTCCGGTCCCAAGACCGACACCCAAAGGCACCACTAACATATCGGCCCGTTATGCTAAGGCCATGCCCATTCACCTTTGCCGCACTAGTGGTCCAATACCACTTGTATCACAATCCCGTCTCTCCAAGACTGGGCCATTTGTCCACGAGTGGTCAACCCAGATCCACTCTTTAGCATCCTTAGGATGCCCACAGATATGGGAAATAACCTTCCCCAATATCCCTTTGTCAGTTCCTACCAAGTCCCTTTTCTGTCCATGGCCATGTTCGCCAACACTGCCACTCGATCAACGCCCACAGGCCCGACCACTAAGTCCCATGGTCCTATGGGACTTCCTCACCACACAACTGTGTCCTTGGTCACTACCCCAGAGGACTGCTCCTCTTCCTTTCCACAGTCTGGGCCTTTGGGACAACATTTCGGAACACCGTGGCCTTACGCGAGCCACCTGGGTACTCTCCCCGCCTTTCGCCTTTAGGTGCTCTAGCCATGGGCTTAGAGCGAAGTTCCGTTGAGCCACACCTAGTATCCAAGTAGGTGCCACCCACACTTGGACTGGGAGCATCGGCCAGTCGATCTCCCGGGGGAACTAGAGCCGGCTCTTGAACACTTCACCAAGCCACCCCGCTTGTCGGTCCGTATTCACTCTAGTCTTGGACTTCCCAGTGGTCAGTTCATCACCCAACACTGGGTCTGGCCTTCCTGGGCCAAACTGGCCTTTCCTGGCCAAACTGGCCTTTCTTGGCCAAACTGGCTCCACTGCAGTCCTCCCCCTTACTATACTTTTGGAGCTCACCAAACCCCCCAGGGTTTGGGAGACGAACGCTTTGGGATTTCACCCTCTCAGACTCGAACTCGGACTCGGACTCGGACTTGGACTCGGGCTCAGGCTCGGGCTCGGTCTCAGCCTTAGCCTCAGTCTCGTTCCTGGTCCCGGTCCCGGTCCCGGTCTCGGTCTCGGTCTCGGTCTTGGTCTCGGTCTCGGTCCCGGTCCCGGTCTCGGTCTCGACCTCGGACTCCATCTCGGGTCCTTCTCGGATTCCATCTCAGACTCCATCTCGGACTCTGTCTCGGTCCATCTCGGACTCCATCTCGGACTCCATCTCGGGTCCATCTCGGACTCCATCTCGGGTCCATCTCGGACTCCGTCTCGGTCCACCTCGGACTCCACTTCGGGTCCATCTCGGACTCCATCTCGGACTCCATTTTGGGTCCATCTCGGACTCCACTTCGGACTCCAGCTCGGACTCCATCTCGGTCCATCTCGGACTCCATCTCGGACTCCATCTCGGTCCATCTCGGACTCCATCTCGGACTCCATCTCGGACTCCGTCTTGGTCCATCTCGGACCCCATCTCGGACACTTCCACGTGTCATGTGTTGGTCCTTTTGGGTCCCTTTTTGGAGCCTCGCTTTTTGCTCGCTTTGTGCTTGTTCCTCAAGCACTTTGTTGGGAGTTCCACTCCCGCTCTCGACCTTCCAAGTCGGAGCTTTTAGTCCAAACGGGTCACGCTCGTTTGGCTTTCGCTTCAGCCACTACCACGTGGCACCCTTTCCAGCTCCACTTTGGGGCCTAGGGATTTTGTGTCTCACAACTCCACCACCCATAGACGAAGTTCGATGTCCTCATCGAACGGTAAACCCTTTTATAAAGTAACACCCATAAGTATTACCATTCCCATCCTTGGCACCTGGCCAATATTTGTCTATGGTTTGACCCCGAAGGCTCACCATGCCTTGTCCATCCTCTAAGGAGGATAGTCTCTCCAACTTAGAGACTGATTGGACCACTTGTGGTGGTTCTTTCCGTTTATTGGTTTAGTTCTCGCTAAACCCGTTAGAGACACCTCTCTAACTCAATTCCACTACTCATTCTTGAGTAGTCACAAATTCCATTGATCTACCTTTGCACTTTGGAACATTTACTTTTGACTTCTTGAAGTCAATTTCCTAGGTGTCTCCGACACCTTGCCTTGCACCTTTTGTGCAACTCCACTTCCCCTCCTAGGAAGTTCTCTACTCGAGGGCACCCTCATCCTCTTTTCTATTTTTGTGCCCCCATTGGCATTATGTTCCATTTATCATTATTTGTGCTAGGGCTGTCCACGGCCCTATCTTTTGGCTACTTAGTTGCTCCCTCACTTGGAGCCTTTCCTTTGCCAAATTGGAGCACTTGGGAATCCATCCTTGGAAGTCCACTTCTTTTTCCGCAATCCGTTAGCATCAACCACATTAGTGTTCCTTGGCTAACTTTGCCACTTGGATTCTTTCCAATGGATTCCACGGCCCTATCTTGGGCACTCGTCTTTTGCTCCTATCCTTGGATTGTTGCACCAAGCAACATAGGATCATTACCTCCCTCCTTGAGGTATTCTTTTGGTTCCATAGCAAAGGATCTGCTTTGCCTAGACTAGGGTGTTCACCCCTAGTAAGTCTCCCCAATTGTTCTAGGCTCTCTTCCTAGCCCAACCTTGTGACCCACCCATGGGCCTGTCTCTGGAGACTATTTTCTTGAACTCATAATACCATTGTATTGTAGTAGTTCATTTCCCTTAGGTGTCCTTCCCACTTAGTCACCTTGACCAAGCCACACCTTTATCAATAGTTCAAATCAACACTTTGAACTAGGAATCATATTCCTTAACCCAAACAAAGACCTTGTCCTTGTTTAGCCATAAGATCACCTAGTAATCTCATTTTGACCCCTTAATAGGTCTACCAATAGGAATTAGGTCTTCCAGACCTTACTAAGTTGTTGACTAAGTTGTGGGGGCATCCCCCACACTTGGCGGTGCGCCCAAGCTAGCCCTTCCGGCCAAGGATCCATAGCAACTGAGACTGGGTGTCCCTATCTCATTCACCACGTCCTTGGTGCTTTTTGCACCAAAGTGTTCAAGTTAGATATGCCGAGCTTTCACTCTAAGCAATCTAACCGTGCATCACGACTTCGGGGCATCCCCCGCTTGGCGGTGTGCCCAAACCAATCTCCTCATTGAGAGTCCATGACCACTGAAATATGAGTGTCCTCATATTCCAAACCATCACCACGCCCTAGCGATTTGGGACTCGAACCCAAGCACTAGAGGGTCGGGACTTGAACCCAACCTCCGTATATGCATCTACGGACGGCATCACCCAGGATGCCTGGCGTGACTCCCCACGCCGATGCACCAATTTATACTCAAAGCGCGCTACAGATCACAGCTTAGGAACCTAGTTCCTCCACACTGCCAAGTCCTCTCACTTGACAAGTCTGTGATCATGCATGGACTCCTCCATGCTTGGCCCCATGGCCCACCCCTTTTGAAGTTATCACCTTCAACTAGGGTATTTGTTCCCCTGACTTGACAATCTCGCTTTGGCAAGCCCTCCGACCACTGTAACATGGTTCCTGCACAAGCGTGAAAGCCCTTGA